GAACCGTATAGAGTTTTTGAGATGTTTGAATTTTATAAATTGGAGGAACATAGAGACAACAATTTGGCCTGTCCAAGATAGAAAAGTGGTCTGTACAGAAGTCAGCCAGGACCCTGTGAAAGACCGTGTAATGTTCGCTAGCTGCAAACGTGACTGTTGGGAACCGCTATTCTACTGCCAATGGACTCAGTATGGACTATTGAACAGTTATTGGATCAATTACCAGGAAACAGAGGTCAAAATATAGACTTCATGGGTCTTATTTGAAGTTAACCTTTGGTATGCTTTATAGGAAAGACGAAAATTCGTGTCTCTCTTTCCAACTATAGGTTCATGTTTGGGGATCCAGGGGGTAGACGACATTCTCTATGCAACTAATATAAGTTCATGTTTGGGGATCCAGTGGTAGAAGACATTCTCTATGCAACTAATATAGGTTCATGTTATGGGATCCAGGGGTAGAAGACATTTTCTATGCAACTAATATAGGTTCATGTTTGGGGATCCAGTGGTAGAAGACATTCTCTATGCAACTAATATAGGTTCATGTTATGGGATCCAAGGGTAGAAGACATTCTCTATGCAACTAATATAGGTTCATGTTATGGGATCCAAGGGTAGAAGACATTCTTGGATCCCCAAACATGAACCTATATTAGTTGCATAGGGGGTAGATGACATTCCCTATGCAACTAATATAGGTTCATGTTTGGGGATCCAGGGGTAGATGACATTCCCTATGCAACTAATATAGGTTCATGTTTGGGGATCCAGGGGTAGATGACATTCCCTATGCAACTAATATAGGTTCGTGTTTGGGGATCCAGGGGTAGATGACATTCTCTATGCAACTAATATAGGTTCATGTTTGGGGATCCAGGGGTAGATGACATTCTCTATGCAACTAATATAGTCGATCTTTCCGGTTGGGGGTTCGGGTACGGTGCAGGGGAGCATCTATACAAGAAGATATAATTAACCCTCCTATAATCAGTTCTTTGACCTTTCTGACCAAATCTTGTCCCTATACGGCATCATTCCTCGTATCATACTTCAGAATTGTGATAAACAAGAAATCCCAGAGGTCACGGACTGACAAAAAAAAACTCCTTATCTAAATTACTTAGAACACCCCCTGGGTGTTCGTTCAACATCTTCTCAACCCATCACACGACGTCAAAAAACTTGACTTTGGACTTATTACAGAATGGACCTTGAAGAATTTATCGTATTCTTAAATGTGGAGAGAAATGAATATTTATAACCAACTATTTATTAAAATGATGAGTAATACGGTTATATATCCACCTATGCTAATAAATTACGAAATTGCAAAAAATAGCCAAACGTTTTTTGTTATTTTATTTATAGGGTTTGGACAAGCGTAGTACGTCATACGTTTTTGTTTTTCATAGTGTTTGGACAAGCGTAGTACGTCATACGTTTTTGTTTTTCATAGTGTTTGGACAAGCGTAGTACGTCACACATTTTTGTTTTTCATAGTGTTTGGACAAGCGTAGTACGTCACACATTTTTGTTTTTCATAGTGTTTGGACAAGCGTAGTACGTCACACGTTTTTGTTTTTCATAGTGTTTGGACAAGCGTAGTACGTCACACGTTTTTGTTTTTCATAGTGTTTGGACAAGCGTAGTACGTCACACGTTTTTGTTTTCCATAGTGTTTGGACAAGCGTAATACGTCATACGTTTTCTCAAATTCAGTTTTGATACCATTGTCTATCTTTAAAAAAAGTTCTTACATAAACTAAGCCACATTAAAGCAAGGTGTTCATGTCTCAAGTTTTTCAAAAATATATCCAACTCTATATTACCTATATGTTATTACCCATTCTATGGTCCACCAACGATGTTTGAGAATATATTTGTAATTGCAAGAATTGCCTTTAGGGCAGTTTAGTGTCGTGTGTTGAAGAATGATGACCGTAAAAATTAACTCCCTCTGTGCACAAGAACGATAACCATAAAAACAAACCCCCTAAAACAATGACTATGAAAATAAACCCCAAAAACGATGACCATAAAAAAACATCCGAGTCTGTCGTTTATCGAAAGACCTTACAACAAGAAAACTGGCAACAATGTTTTCAAGAAAACGGATTCTTACACACACACCTTGTTTTCTGTTAAAGTAATACTCGTTTGCAGATTTAATTCCGGGCACACAAAAAGTTTCTAACCTGTAGAATAGATCTCCACGACTCCAATGCGTATCTCCAGGACCGTAACATTGTACGTTATGGGACAAGTTCACATTAAGGTTAGATTGGTCACTCACGAAAAGCTCCAAGCCGTAAAAAAATATCGAAATGGCTCGCTCCATTTCATCTTCAAGTTTTAACGTGCTGGCGTTGAAGTGAATGGCTTGAAAGGTAAATAAAAAAAGAAATAAAATTACCCTTTGAATACCAGACACCAGAAAGTGAAATAGTCATTTGGAACCATATTGTTGATATCAAATCTTTCGTTCTTATGGGATAAAACTACGTGCTAGTGGAGACAGTCAACATTAAACTGTATGTTGTATTATAAAAGCATAACAGTAGATTCCATAAATGTTATAAAGCTTAAAAAAAGGAAGAAATATATTGATGTACTTAAACAAAATAGATCATTTTTACCATCACTACCTAAAATATATATTGTGTGATTGGTTAACGTTTCATGATCATAATATCGTGTTATTGGCTAACATACGATCATAATACTGTGCTATTGGCTAATTTTTATGACCGCAATATTGTTATTGGTTAATTTCTAATAATCATAACACTGTCATTGTTTAATTTTTTACGATCAGATAACTGTATAATTGATGATCTTTTCACGATCATGATACTGTGTGTTTGGTGAAGTTGTCACGATCTTGCGATGCCAACAAATGTATTGTACAAGTTCATTAGTGTGATTTGATTTTATTTCGAAAACTTTAAACCAATCAGGCCACTCGTCCAAGTGGAGTTATAGAAAACTAACGGAAGGGGGATCAAGTAACAGAATAATAATAAAGCACAAAAACGTGTTTCTCAAATCAATATACTGTTACCAACTGTAAAGGGATTTTGTAACAATGAGGTGGAAATATCGCAAGCTGTACATATTAGCCCTTAACTATTAGTGTCACGTCTATAGGAGCCTAAGCGATTTTATTTTATTAATAACTAAATTTCGTATTTGGTAATAATATTGATATCTATACTATTATCCAATAGAAACTCTTGAATAAAACGATAACATATATTCAGCAAGTCACGTGACAACCACAGTCGATGTAAGGTCGCGGCGGGACAGAATGTATCAGAAGTACATTTTGACGTTATTTAGTGTAGAGATTAGCATCGCCTGGTGGTTATGGTGCTCGACGCGCAATATTCGAGTCTCGGGATCGAAACTCGTCACTTTAAATGCTCACCCTTTCAGACTATTTGTTGGTAAAAGAGTAGCCCAAGATATGGAGGTGGGTGGTGCTTACTAGCTGCCTTCGCTCTATCTTATCACTTCAAAATTAGGGACGGTTAACGCAGAAAGTTCTCGAGTAACTTTGCGCAAAATTAACCAATAAGGAATTATTTTTACGAGAAAGATATTTTAAAAGAAAGCAGCAAATGAAGGTTATTAATTACGGGTATACATTAAAAAAACTCGAGAATGAAGGTTATTAATTACGGGTATACATTAAAAAAAACTCGAGAATGAAAGTTATTTATACGTTGTTGAGCTGTTGTTTTTATTCTACTATTGAAAGACAACAGAACTTATGAATGACTTATTTTATGTTTCAGTTATAACGATATTATTCTTTTAGTTTATTTTTAAGATTTTGGTAAAATCACCTCATGACATTTGTTTTTTTTCCTAAGTAATAGCGTTAAGCATGGCATCTTTAACTTAAGCCTAAATAGATAAACGCTTGTAACAAGATCTTTTAACTCAATATTATATGGACTTCACAAATTCAATTATTAAAAGAAAGGTATATTAGCCTTAAATCCGATGAACTACAGCGATATAAGATAAGTATTCTGGTTTCATAGTATTGAATGGAACCAGATTTTTTTATCACATGTTAGTGTTGACTTTTGTACATTAAGCCTAGCTGATATTCGTCTTTACATTTTAATGTTGGTTTTTGTACAAATGAATTAAGCCTAGCTGATATTTGTCCTTACATGTTAATGTTGATTTTTGTACATATGCATTATTAAGCCTAACTGATATTCATCATCACATGTTAGTGTTGATTGTTGTACATATGCACTAAGCCCAGCTGATATTCGTCATTACATGTTAATGTTGTCTTTTGTACATATGCATTATGCCTAGCTGATATTCGTCATTACATGTTAATGTTGGTTTTTGTACATGATTATATTAGGCCTAACTGATATTCGTCATCACATGTTCGTGTTGATTTTTGTACATATATATTAGGCCTAAGTGATAATATCTAAAAAAGTTATATTTGTCTATATTCATACGGCTTGGAATCAAAATTCTTACCTAACATGCCAGTAGGGAACTCACTTGGAGCGTATTTCACAATTCCTGACCCTACTGCAGATTGAGTGGCGATCCACATGTAATTCATTCCCGTAAGTCCCAGATCATTGGCTGCTCCCATGATGCTGCTTCCCTCATCTTTGGTGACGTAAAGAACAATAACCCGAGCGTCACTGTTTTTTAAAAATTCCAGTTCTGTCCGATTTCATCTTTTGTCTTTCCTTTTATAACGAAGATGTCAAGAATGTTGAATCTAACAACGAAACAAAGCATTGATTCACGGTTACAGTCTGTCAGTTACTTCTCAACTAGAGCAGAGAGTTACTAATTTTATAAACCCTTAAAAGGGCTTAACCCTAAATTAAGTAGAAGGTTTTGAGATATGATGTTTAATTATCTTAATACAAGTACATATCTCTGATTGCAATGACAAAAATGTTTAATTAAACAGTAGATCCCCTGCCTCTATCTAAATCATACTAAAAACAGCCCGTTTTATTCCTTCCTATTCGCACAAAATAGCCGTGAGCACAGCATAGATAGCCCATTGTGTAGCAACAAACAAATAAGGTACAAAAAGTGCTACATGAATGGATAATTTAAAATATTGTTACAGTTTATTTACACATCCGTTCTTTGGTGGGTCAGTTTACAGAATTAAAACGCCAAAATCCGGGGTTCAATAGTTAAAAGATACGATTATTAATGGAATTTTAGGTTTAAATTTTATATATTTATCATACTGGTTGAGGCTGAATGAGAATCCTCAGGGAAGATCGAATTAAAATAAAAGCTTTTGCTTCGCTTGTTAGTTGGGTAATTAACTGTGAAAAAAAAAACACTGGTACGTTGTTCAAAATTTTAGACAGCAGACGCATCCCGCGTGGAGTTGATCAATAAAAATAATTAGTGAACTGAGAAATTCGTGAATTTAATCAGAAGAAAGTAAATAGGAAAAAAAAATAATACGGAAATTAATTAAATCGTTTTCCACGTTTTTCCATCAGCTTTAATTTTTGGCCTAAATCTTCAAGGAGAGACTGAAATCGTGAAAAAAATAATTATATTGGAAAAATAAACTAAAATACATTGGAAGTAAAACGCCAATCATGGATATTTTGTCTAAGTTAACTATTTGTACAAGGAAATATGATAAAAATAAAAGTCTTTTTCTTTAGATATTTGTACAAAATTACCCAAGTAATATTTGCGTCAGCCGTCCAAAAGTTTTGATCTGATGGACTATAGATAGTCCATTGTGACTTCTTCGTTTGTTGGAAGTTAAGCACAAAGCTACACGATGGGCTATCTTCTGTGCTCTCCCCACCACGGGTATCGAAACTCGGTTTCTAGCGTTGTAAGTCCGCAGAAATACCGCCGTGTCACTGGGGCGTGACTTCTTGGACGACTCTAATCGAATAATGGTACTGTCACACTTATCACGCACTAAAGGCCCTAAAGCGCGCGAACCGTGGATCCTCAAATCCTTAGTTCCGAACGCGAACTGTTGGACTCGCCTGGCCCAATAACAAGAAAGGTGAATCGTTGTTTCAGAAAACTGAATACAATAAAAATAAAAACTTATTAATGATTAAATCATTATCGAATTTCTCTATCAACATAAATATTTTCAGATTTAAAATGTAAATTTTGTACATTCTAGACAAGCTTATATCAATTACAGTGCACATTTCTGACGATTGGTTTCGTTTTGCAGTAAAATATAAAGCTGGTGAAACCTCTGTTAAAAATGTGGTCATTTCAGCAAGAGACGAAATTGTTTAAATTAAGACATTTCTGAAACAGATGCTCACGAAGTGCCCCACTTAAGAAAAATTACATAACGTGAATAATATTTCAGGGTTAACAATGATGGTGAAATGTTAGGAGCATAATAAAATGCCAAATTTGAAAATAATAATTAATTATTCGGAGGAACCTTGTGGTTCTAATTTTTTTATTTCTACCTATAAAAAATAAGGTTTATAAAAATTTAAATATTAACAATATGTTTTTAAGGAACATGTAGGAGTTCAGGTATTTTGTTAACAAACAAAACACTTTTTCAAATAAATGGTTTTGTTAGCTGAGATTACGTACACACTGTTTACAAATGCATTGAACAAACTCACTTAAAATCGATACTTTCAAGAACAAGGTCTCTCACAGCACGCACAAAATCGTCATGTCCACCAATAAGACTGGTAACGATTGAAAACTGATGCCAGAAATATCTTCTTAAAACACTCAATATGGCTGCTGCCTGGTGCTCCATAGAGGGTGCTAACTGGAGAATCCGTGAGTCCGAGACACGCTGAAAAAAATAATGAGAAATAATTATGATCCTTTTTTTTTTTGGATGGGGTAGAATTAAATAATTTAATAGGTTTATTAAATAATTAAATAATAACTAAATAATTTAATAGGTTTATTAAATAATGAAATAATAACTAAACAATTTAATAAGTTTATTAAATAATGAAATAGTAACTAAATAATTTAATAGGTTTATTGAATAATTAAATAATAACGAAATAATTTAATAGGTTTATTAAATAATTAAATAATAACGAAATAATTTAATAGGTTTATTAAATAATTAAATAATAACGAAATAATTTAATAGGTTTATTAAATAATGAGGTA